TGGAAACTAATAGAAGAGAGAAGGACAGTGAAACAAAAGATTATCCAGTGCACTGACGAGCAACAAAAACAGGAGCTGAATGCAAGCTACAATACACTGAACAAAAGAGTGAAGAAGAGTGCCAGGGAAGACAAAAGAAAATATTATGAAACCATGGCAAACGAAGCAGAACAAGCTGCAGGCAAAGGAGACCTCGCCACACTCTACCAAACAACTAGGAACCTTTCGGGCAAACGTTCGACACAGATTAAGCCAATAAAGGACGACAATGGAAAGTCAATCACCAAAGAGGTGGAACAGAGAAAGCACTGGGTTGAACACTTCAAAAGACTTCTAAATCGTCCGCCACCTACAACACGCCCAACAATACCAACAACGGAAGCAGAACTACCAGTGAACACTGACCCCCCGACGAAATCAGAAGTCCTGAATGCAATCAAGATGCTAAAAGCTGGGAAAACACCGGGACCAGATGGAATCCCAGCAGAAGCTTTGAAAATAGACCCAGAGACAACAGCGGACTTGATGACACCACTGCTGGAGAAGGTGTGGAAAGAGGGCAAAGTACCCGAGGATTGGAAGAACGGATACTTATTCAAACTTCCAAAGAAAGGAGACTTAAGTCAATGTAAAAACTGGCGTGGAATTATGCTTCTGTCCATTCCAAGCAAGATACTAAGTCGCATCATCCTGGAGAGAATCAAACAAGCCCTAGATGAAAAACTTCGTCCGGAACAGGCCGGATTCAGGAGAAACAAATCATGTATTGATCAAATCGCCACTCTACGGATCATCATTGAACAAAGCTTGGAATGGCAGTCACCTCTCTATCTCAACTTCATCGACTTTGAAAAGGCCTTCGACAGCGTCGATCGAGAGGTCATTTGGAAACTACTTCGCTACTACGGGGTCCCATCGACAATTATACACCTCATCCAACAGTTATACGACAATGCTGCATGCCAAGTAATCCACAACGGGAAACTTACGGAAGCCTTCGAAGTGAGGACGGGAGTGAGGCAAAGCTGTCTACTATCACCAATGATCTTCCTGATTGCAATTGATTGGATAATGCGACAGACAACGGCAACCAACGAGGGAACAGGCATAAAATGGACTGACACAAAAGACTTGGAGGATCTGGATTTCGCCGATGATATATGTCTGATTTCCCATAAACTGGAAGATATGCAAGTGAAAAGTAACAAGTTGGCAGAAGAAGCATCAAAGATAGGACTTCAGGTGAACATAGATAAAACAGAGATGATGAAGATTCCTAGCCAACATCAACAACAACAACAGACAACAATCAGCATAAATGGGAAGAACCTGAAAGAAACAACCTCCTTCACCTACCTGGGAAGCATCGTCTCAACTACAGGCGGAACTGACGAGGATATCAAAGCCAGAATCGGAAAAGCAAGACAAGCTTTCATTACTCTCAAGTCTGTGTGGAGGTCAACAGCACTCAGCATCAAAAATAAGATCCGGATTTTCAACTCCAATGTGAAGTCAGTGCTACTATACGGATCAGAGACTTGGCGAGTCATAAAGAGCATCTCAAACAAACTTCAGACCTTCATTAACAGCTGTCTTCGCTCAATACTCAAGATCAGATGGCCAGAGAAGATCAGCAACAGGGATCTCTGGGAGCGAACCAATCAGGAACCGATTGTGAAACAAATAGGCAGGAAGAAATGGAGATGGATTGGCCATACTCTGAGGAAACCATCAAGTGACATCACTAGACAAGCCCTCGAGTGGAACCCGAAAGGGAGGCGGCGAGTTGGTCGTCAGTGCGAGGGTGACTTGGAGGAGGTCATGCGAGGAGGAGATGAAAGCATGTGGACAGACCTGGAGCGGGGTGAAAAAGTTGTCAGAAAACAGAAGGCAATGGAGGTGCGCAGCTGAAGCCCTATGTTCCTCTAGGAACTAAAGGATACAATAATAATAACAATAATACTTTTACTGACGAGGTTATATATTCTTGTAATACTTCTATGAACTAGCCATAGGCATTCTTACAACAACTCTTGACGAAGGCTTTTACCATTCACTGTTATCCAGGTTCCATTATGTTCCTTCCGAAATAAGTCCTCTGAATGCAGTTAGTTTTAGTCTATGTTTCTACAAAGAAATGTCATCAAATTCATATTTCCTTCCGAAGTGTTGTTGTCTTTCCCTTCACTTATCTCCTGGACTACTGTTTTAGGAGTATGCTCAAATATTTGGCTACGAAGAAGTCGAGATGGATCTTGCCATAAGGCATTTATTATATATGCTGCCTCTGATAATTCAGCTTTTCTATCGAGTCTCAACAAATAATCAGCTATTACGCTTTATTTAAATGGAATATATTCTGTAGTAAAATAGTATTCCTGCAGATGTAACATCCACCGCTGTGATTTCCCATGAGGTTCTTCTGCTGTTTTTAAACACTGAAGAGGTTTATAGTCAGTCTCAGTATGAAATAGATGATCAACCAGGTAGGGTCTCTACTTCTCTAGCATATAAACAGTAACCAAACACTTCTTTACTACCGTAAAATACTTCTATTCTGCAAGTGTTAAAACGGTTAGTATACTCAAAAGCTCTACTTGTCTGTTTTCGGATAGCACCTATGACACAATCACTTGTATCTGTGAAAACTATGAATTGTTTTCCCGGAACCTGGGGTTTTAGCATCATCTGTCAGTTATCCTTGAGTTCCTTGATACGATCAAATATTTGCTCGGCCTGTTCAGTTCGTGTAAATCATGTATTACTCATAAACTTAGTAGTGTCTTAAATCTTCTTTAGACTTTCATTTTCAAATTATTAAATATTGTCCTATAATGACATTTTCTTCAAGTTTAGTAAACTGCTTGATTCCGGTGAAGCCAAGATACATTCAGTAGTGTCAGGTAGGTAATTTACTAACTTTCCGTTGGAATTCTTTAACAAAACAGAATTCTATTTTAGTTTCACTTATCATCCTGTAGCTTGACCATTCAGGGGGTTGGCGGAATTATCTTACACCGACTCTAATTTGTTAGTTCTCGCGTATCAACAACAAAGCAAAAGCTAATAATTGATCGTCCAAACTTCGGATATATTTCGGACCAAAACAAACCTTCAGGTGAACGCTTAGCTAGCTAGTGATCGTGCACGTTACACGACGGGGAACCAAATGGGGGAGATGCTTGACCGGAAGCCTTCAGCTAAACAAGTTGACTTAAACAGTGGTGGTCAGCATCCAATGAGTGACTGCTGTGGTCAATAATTTTGGGGAATTATTTACCGCTACAACAGTTTTTTTATTCCTTTACGTTCCCAGTGGAACACAGAGCGCCTTCGAGCTACAGACATGAATTTTCAGTAGCAGTGGTGTTTATTTTTACGGGATGGAGTCTCTGTCTGTCTGGATTCAACAGAGAACTTGACACCGAAGTGCAGCAGTTCGAGTTGCCACGTTCAAAATAGCACACAAAGGTAGACAGGAAGATGAGTGTACAGAATCAATAGAGTTTGACAGGTATAAGAGCGAAACAGAATGGGTAATGATGCGTCGGTCGCACAGTGGTTAGGACTCTCGCCGACCATGCACATGGTCCGAGGTTCGATCCCCTGCCGATGCACACCTGATATCTATGGTCGGTCTGCAAAATTTTGGCTACCAATATCCATGCTGAAAATTCCATACTTGTACCAAAAATACAGCGTGGAATCAAGCTGTAATCAAAAATAAATAAAATAGAAAGAAATATGAAAGATTACAGAGACTGAATACATTTGCGCCATTGACAACGATTTTGAGCCATGTCACCTATTGTCTCCAGCCATTGATTCCTAGAGTCTTGAGGGCCCCAACCCGGAAGTCTGCATCTGCCTACCTGACTCAGTTTAGCTGTCAAGGATTTCAAGGATTGACGCCATGTTTTTGTTTGGCCACCACTTACCCTTTTCCAACCGGCACCTATATCAACTAGTAATGCCCGTCGTGGGAGGCGATGGTTAGGCATGCGCACCACCTGACCTAGCCATCTCAATCTATGTAACTTTATAGCCTCGTCGTCGATTGATTTTCCCTCTTTGCCCAACACTCTGCGCCTAACGTCAACATTACTTACCTTGTGAAACCACCTAACGTGAGAAAGAGATCGCAGACATCTATGATCGAAAGCAGTCAACCTTTTCATATCTTCAACTAGTATTGGCCATGTTTCAGAGCCATAGAGAAGGACGGAGTGAACTGCTGAGCAGTACACACGTCCCTTGGTTGATAGCCAGCCAGATGTCACACCTACGCCAGAGGTGGTGTAAGTCAGCGAAATCAGCTCGAGCTTTTTGGATCCGTGCTGATATTTCGTCGCCAATCAGTCTGTTGGTGCTGATACAACTTCCCAAATAGGTGAAGTGGTCAACATGTTCTATCACTTCACTCCCCCCTATCACTAAGCTAGGAGTTGACGTGGTCCAGTCCTGTAGCAGCATCTTACATTTTGTAGGGGCCAGTCGCATGCCAAACATACGAAGACTGCTGGTCAAGGTGTTCAGAAGACTCTGCTGAATTTTGTCAGCATCCTCGCCTAACAGGACTATGTCATCTGCATATTCTAAGTCCATAAGACTATTCCCTGGTAACAAGTCGATTCCTAATTCGTTACGTTCAGTTAAGGATACTTCCATCAGCATATCTATGATGAAGTTAAACGGGATGGAGTTGCTAGCCTCATGTTCAATCTTCGCTCCTTACCAATCTTATTACTCGCTTAGTGAGGCAAAGGAGTGCGTCTGTGGTCGGGGATCGGACCCCTTACCACCTGCACGACTGGCGAGCTTTTTACCACTATGACACTGATGCAGCATGACAGTTTGCAGAGTGAATATCAATTACCATCAGTAAATTAGTGATACAGATTAATTCATGAAATTTTATCATCATAACTTTATACATACGTATTTACACACATAAATTTGCATAAAGTATGCAAATATGTTTCAAAATTATTTGAAAATTTGACAGTTACATTTTACATTGAAACCATTGAATGCATTTATTATCTTTTTTTGAGATATTTGATATTGTTCTACATATGTACTTTTATGTTACATATAATTTATTTTTTATTGTGAGTAAAATAATTTTCTTATTTTTTTGACAAAACGGAAAACAAACGGAAGAAAAATTCAGAAAGCAGAAACATTAAATTACATTTTAGAAAATTTCTCCAAGACGTAAACGACTACTTGGATATAAAACAGGATTCCTTTCTGTATTTGACAAAGTTATATAACTGTTGATTCCTCCATCGAGTAAATTATGCGTTGTGCTTGTATTATTAAAATTAGACTGAATATTTGAAGAATTAGTTGCAGCTAAAAGAATATAATTAGAATCGTTATATTTGTTAACACTACTACTAGTTGTTTGAAGTGGATTTGTTATATCCATGATTGGTTTCAAGGAGATATTTGGAATGTTTGTAATTAAAGTAGATTCACTCAGTCCTGTACTGCAACATCGTCGTCTATTGCCTAATCTTTGAAATTGTTTTGACTGTGTACTATTTGACCAGTTAGTTGTCATTCCACAATCGAATTGGCTGAAAAGATGTAATTTTAACAGCATAAAAAAAATAATAAATCAGTTAGCACTTTAATATTTACAGTATAATGGATGGTGATTCTAGGTGAAATGAAAACCTGGGTCGCGGCCGAATGTCGCAGCTATTAACTCAACCAATAGTGCACCTAAATAATATTCCGTGAGGCATTGTTTTTCGAGTGAGTGAAGTCAAACAAGAGCTTAGTGGGAAGGGAAGAGGGACACTGGATGGTAGTCAAAGCATTCGAAGAATCAACTACAGTCTCAGAATGAAACTCATAAAATTTCAGCTCGGTAAATGAATTTTAACATGTTTAATACAAGGTAAGAGCGTCTGTAGTTTAACTCCATGTGGGGTTAGGCATACAGTGCTTAGATGTTTCAAACAGAGGAGGCTTCATGATTTCAGAATGATACTGTGGTGAGAGCAGGCTGCTAGCCAATTGGTAGACATCAATCTACGTCAATGTCTAGGTCACTGATATTGGCCGTGAGAAAATATGAACAAGGCTGATTCAACAACCAATCACAGCAGACTTAACGTGGGCAAATATGATTCGCAGATAGATGGCTCCATTTTTCGATGCTACCCGAAATAACCAATCAGAAGACTGCGTTTGTCTACTTGAGTAAGCTATAATAATTTACAGGAAATATATATAAATACGTGTTGATTTCCGTAATAAAACGATCTGTTGCCGGCCCTTGTCTTCTGTTGTTACAATACCAGTACCAAATAAGAACTATATCTGAATCAAATCTTGAATTATTCATTTATATATATATATATATCTGATAACTTCCTGGGTGAGTAAGAAAATTCAGGGCAGGTATCAAAAGTGATCAGATAGCAATAATGCATTATAATGGTAACACTGTTGATAGCCGACCAAAACTGTGTATGCAATTAGGGATTATGAAAACAAAAACCCACATGAAATTCAGATTTAGACTTGAACAAATGCTTTTTATCATATAGCAACTTCACGGATCTTTTTCATTACAGAGTCAATTTATTTTGATAAAAGCATGCAGTCGTCAGATTTATTCTATGATGAAATTATACTATATCACAGCGCCCAAGTCCTATTTATATTTCACCTGCTCATAATTGGGATCAATACACCTACATACCGTTATTAACTGTTCAAAATCGCTGTGATTTACAGTTCATATTGTGCCTACTAAAGCATTTTATTCGCTTAGCGTACTTTCTGCAGTAGTTACTCGCGCATTATTTTATTATTACGATCCCTTTGTATTCTGAATGGAACCTGGGGCTTCAGTGGCACATCTGTTCTATGCCTTCTTTTTTCGATGGCTCAAGAATTTTCCATAATCTCTCATTCCATTTTTTCGCATGATTTTCTGCATGTCACCCTGGAAAGCCCTACAGGTTGCTTACCATTTGGGTTCCACTGGAGGACCTGACGTGTGATGTCATTGGCATATCTCGTCAGCCTATGTCCAGTACACCTCCATTTATTTCTGCATATTTGTCTGGCAACAGGTTGTTAGCTAGTTCACTGCTTTCAAAAGTTCCTTGTTGCTTATTGTTTCCGGTTGGTCGACCATCTGATCTTCAGTATTGAGTGAAGGCATCTATTGATAGAAGTCTGAAGCTGGCTCTTTGTGTGACAGTTTCTAAATAATAAAGAGTCACTGACTTCAAATGAATATTGGAAAGTGTGGGTTTTGTTCCTTTGTGTTGAGTGCTGCAGGATTTCAAAGTAGTGAACGCTCTTCCAATCCATCTTGGCTGACTTTGATAACATCATCTATGCCGTTTGTCTGTAGCTGAAACGATACTGCCTTTCATAAAGTGAAATAGACGATTTTGTTAGGATTTCCTCCACTGGTGGTGATTAGTGCTTGTTGTTGTTGTTGTTGTTGATGTTGTTAACTGAGGATTTTCATCACCTCTGTCTTTTCTCTCTTATTTGAATAAGTGTGTTCAAATTAATCTGATGACTAATTCACTTTACAGTATTGTGATTCCATGAAAATATGCCTTATTATTAGGTTACTTATTTTTATATCAGTAGCTTAAATGCATTATTTCCTTTCATTCCTTTGCATTAAGAGTGAAAAATAGGTCTTCAATCCTAATACCCAACCTTCCCTGTTTACAGGTTTTATTATCAGCTAAGTGAGGTTCAGTAGTAGTGCGTCGGTTGAGAATCGGTCGTCTTTTGTCTGCTTGAGTTGAATGCATTGCTTAGTAGGTACTAGCATTTTCCTAAAATAAACAATACCCACATATGCTTGATTCAGTCTTCCAGCAATGAAGCAGTTCTTTTCCCGTGAAATATTAAAATCATAGAAGAGTAGTGTATCCCACATATAAAAATACTTTGGCTGACTGACTGCCTTGTTTCAACACAGAAAGTCGAACAGAAGTGCAGTAGTTCAAGCTGCCCCACTCTGTGTAGCACACAAAGGAAGACAGAAGAGAAAAAGATGGTTCGAAAGGACGATAATAACCAGGGATGTCAAAGAGAAAGAGGGAATAGTAACACGGAAAGACAATGTATATGGAAGATCACAAAGACTGAATACATTTGAAACACCGGAAATGATTTACAGTCATATCACCAACTTTATCCAGCCGCTGCTTCTTAAAATCCTGAAGATCTCAAACCAGGCAGTCTGCACCTCCCTATGTGGCTCAGATTAACTGGTAGAGACTACATGGACTAGTTCCATGTTTTGATTTGACCACCGTTAGCTCTTTCCCGACCTGATCCCATGTCAGCTAAGATTACTCACCAAGGAAGGGAATGACTAAACATGTGTCTATAGCATGGCATCTTCCAGAATAGAAAAAGTAATTTATGTTTAACATCTACAAGTGCCAATAATAAAGAGGATCAACGTAGCGATAAAAATAAAGAAAAACAGAATATATCTTTTACAGAATGCTTATATCACCTGAAAACATTGGGCTGAATATATGGTCTATTATTTATCGGTTGTCACTGAAATTTAATCTAACGCGTTTTCATCTGCTGTTTTTTGCAGTGGTGAATTAATTGTTGGAATTCATTTTGAATTAGTTCAAGTCTGTATTGTGACTGTTTCAAAAATCGTGGATTAATGACTAGTCATTTACTATTATTCCCTTGGGTTCCAGGTCAAACACAGAGCTTAAATAGTACATGTCTATTTCATCCTGTTCTCTGCAGTCCTCTAAGCTATTGCCCATAAAATTTCATCTTCTCCGCACGAAATCCTCCATGTCACTCTTGAACACCAAACTCGATGTTTCCTATCTGGATTCCACTCAAGGGTAAGAGCTGCTCGAAAAGCCAAGTGGTAACATCTCCGACTATAGAATTGGGTGGGTCGAGTTCGAATCTCAGGAGGGGCATCAATCCCTTCATGATCGTCTGTCTGTCTGGATTCAACATAGAACTTGGCACCGAAGTGCAGCAGTTCGAGTTGCCACGTTCCAAATAGCACACAGAGGTAGACAAGAAGATGAGTGAAGAGAATCAATAGAGTTTGACAAGTATAAGAGTGAAACAGAATGGGTAATGGTAGAAAGGAATATGAAAGATTACAGAGACTGAATACATCTGCGCCATTGACAACGATTTTGAGCCATGTCACCTATTGTCTCCAGCCATTGATTCCTAGAGTCCCGAGGGCCCCAACCCGGGAGTCTGCATCTCCCTACCTGACTCAGTTTAACTGTCAAGGATTTCATGGATTGATGCCATGTTTTTGTTTGGCCACCACTGGCTCTTTTCCAACCTGAACCTATATCAACTAGTAATGCCCGTCGGGGGAGGCGGTGGTTAGGCATGCGCACCACGTGACCTAGCCATCTTAGTCTATGTAACTTTATAGCCTCGTCGATTGATTTTCCCTCTTTGCCCAACACTCTACGCCTAACGTCAACATTACTTACCTTGTGAAACCACCTAACGTGAGACAGAGATCGCAGACATCTATGATCGAAAGCAGTCAACCTTTTCATGTCTTCAACGCGTATTGGCCATGTTTCAGAGCCATAGAGAAGGACGGAGCGAACTGATGAGCAGTACACACGTCCCTTGGTTGATAACCGGATGTCACGCCTACGCCAGAGATGGTGTAAGTCAGCGAAAGCAGCTCGAGCTTTTCGGATCCGTGCTGAGATTTCATCGCCAATCAGTCCGTTGGTGCTAATACAACTTCCCAAATAGGTGAAGTGGTCAACATGTTCTATCACTTCACTCCCTATCACTAAGTTAGGAGTTGACGTGGTCCAGTCCTGTAGCAGCATCTTACATTTTGTAGGGGCGAATCGCATGCCAAACATACGAAGATTGCTGCTCAAGGTGTTCAGAAGACTCTGCATTTTGTCAGCATCCTCCCCTAACAGGACTATGTCATCTGCATATTCTAAGTCCATAAGATTATTCCCTGGTAACAAGTCGATTCCTAAGTCGTTACGTTCAGTTAAGGATACTTCCATTAGCATATCTATGATGAAGTTAAACAGAAATGGGGAAAGTGGACATCCCTGTCGGACACCACTGGTTGTTACCAATTCAGATGACAATTCCCCATAAGCCCTTACACGACTACGTGAGTTTGAATAGAGTGCCTTGATTAGTGCAATGTACTTTCTTGGCACTCCCTTCACAGTCAGACATTGCCATAGTACCTTTCGATCCACGGAGTCGAAGGCCGCCTTCAAGTCAAGAAATATGACAATTGTTGGACGCCGAAAAGTGTGTCTATGTTCTAGAATCTGTCGAAGAGTGAAGATATGATCTATGCACCCTCTACCTGGTCTAAAGCCTGCTTGATTTTCCCTTGTCTGTTCCTCCCGAGTTCTGCTTAGTCTATGCATGATTACTGAGCCTAGGATTTTAGAGACTATGTTCGTTAGGCTGATCCCCCTATGATTATCACACGAGGACTTGTTTCCCTTCTTGAATATCGGTATAATAAGTGACTTACCCCAGTCTGATGGCACTGTCTCTGATTCCCAGACTTTGCCTAGTACCTCAGTTAATCTACAAACTAGTATGTCACCCCCATATTTAAACACCTCCGGAATAATTCCGTCGGGTCCTGCCGCTTTGCCTCGTTTCAAATTACTGATAGCTTTTGTAACCTCACTTACAGACGGCGGACCAGTGTCTATATCCCATTCGGGTGTGTGGTGGATGGCGGGGAGGTTCAGTGTGGCTGTAGGCAAGTTAAATTGTTCCTCAAAGTGTTCTTTCCAGCGTTCAAGGCGTCTATCCTGAGAGCTAATTAAGGAGCCATTTTTCTCAGAAATAGTCTCACTTATGAATTGCCTTCTCCCACCCGATTCCCTGATGAGTCTAAAGAGTTGCCTAGTGTTGCCTATCGCCGATGCTTTTTCCATCTCTTTTGCCTTTGTCACCCACCACTGTTCACGGTCCTTGCGGAGACTTTTAGTAAGTTTCCTTTTGTGCAGCTTTCGCTCCTCATTGAATTCGGAGCTCGCCGGAATAAGTCTTCTAGCATCTATCAGTTCGGATGAGGCAGTCGAAATCCAGTGGTTTTTACTCACCTTTGGATTTACTTATTCACAGCTTTTACAGCTGTATCTATAGCTGACTGAATATTCTTCCAGGCTTCTCCAGGGTGAGCACAGCTGTCGAATTCAGATATGCGTTTAGCTAGTTCTTCCTCAAATAGGGATTTAGTTTCCTGATCGAGCTGGGGACGTGATGGTTTTACCGCCAGCTGTTTCCTACGTCCGTTCAGTCGTAAGCACACACGAGCCCGGACCAGTGCGTGATCGGTATCTACACACGTGTTCCAGAAGGAGCGACAATCTCCTACCGACCCACGCCAACGATAGCTTATTGCTATGTGGTCTATTTGTGTCCAGCGTTGGTTTGATGATGGGGGTCGCCAGGTTAAACAGTGTCTCTCCTTGTGTTTAAAGTTAGTGCTTACAAGAAACAAATGATTATCTGAACAGAACTGTAGGAGACGGTCACCGTTGTCGGTTCGCTGGCACGGAACTCCATAGGTGCCACCGACATCCTTCTCAGATTGACACAATTTCCCTACTTGAGCGTTAAAGTCACCAGCTAGAACGACTATATCTGAGCGTTTAGCCTTTCTCACCAAACTAGACAGCTTTTGGTAGAACTCATCCTTCGTTTCATCCGAACTGCAGTCAGTGGGGGCGTAGGCGGAGATTACGAAAAGGCATCGGCGAGTAGTGCAGTCCTTTCTCCTTCTTACTGATCCGTTCAGACGGACAGCACACATTCGGCTATCTACTGGGATCCAGTCAAGCAATGTCTTTTCTGCCCTAGTACTCAAAGCTATCCCTACGCCAGCTAATCCTCGTGAACTAGCTGTGGCATCTCCTGACACCCTCAAGGTGAATTTTGAAGATTCATCCTGTTGGCCAGGTGGGGTTAGGTGAATAACCACACTTGGGTCTTGTATGCGTGTTTCTGAAACACAACATACATCAATGGCTCGGGATGCCAGGGTCTTAGCTAGTGATGCTTGTTGTCCTATTTGGCAAAGTGTCCTAACATTAAATGCTCCTATATGAAATTGGTGGCGTGGCTTTAGGAGACTATCGGTGGTGGTTTTTTGGCTTTCGTCGTTTTTAGTGGACACAGAGTGAAGAGGGAGTGAGGAGCCATCAAGTAGAGGAGTTGCATCAGTGGGAGGAAGGCAAGGTAATAGAGATGAAGATGAAGACAAAGATAAGTGAGGATTAGAGAGGTTTTGTGTGCATTTCGGATTGTGAGGGCGTTTGTTACTTCCCGGCTGCCCACACCGTGGAAGTTGGTTGCGTGACCGCAGAGCCCAGGGGACAACTGCTTGAGGCCGGTCACACGCGGCCTGTTTTTGTTTGTTCTCTTTTGTTTGGTGTGCCTCAGTAGCATACTTATCACTCCTGCCCTGTGACACGGCAGCAGGAAGCGCGGTCGTTGTTAATCCGGGCCACGGCCGATCCGGCATGAAATTTTGTGAATTTGTTTGGATCATGGTATTGGATGGGGTAGCTGCTTTTTGTTTAACCGCTATCCAAACAACCTGCCTGGCATGGTAGAACCTCAAGAGACATAAGTCTCAGCCAGTATAGCTTGATTAGGTCATTGCGGTGTTCAAGCCCGACCACCACGTCAAGGTAGCAGCTTTCGGTCGGGATCGTAGATATGCCTTGCTGACGAGTGCCAACAAACATGAGTCCTTACTGTACGTTCTGGTGGGTGAATAGTCAACTGGTTGGACTCATAACCTGAAGGTTAAGGGTTTGATTCTCAATGGGGTGTGGGTGCGCACTTCTGAAGAGCTCGATTTCTAAACTAGCTTAGGCTATAAGTCCACTAGTTTACTTGCCTCGTCTAAGCCAGAGAAAAAGAGGAAAGGCTGGACGTGGGGCTAGCTACCTTACTCCGAAAAACTGCTAAAGAAACCTCAGTTAAAGTGCAGGTGAAACTTTTTCTTAGGAAGATCACTTCTTAGCAGAACGTAGGTTATCTAATGACATTACAGCATGGGTTGATATCCATAGCAAATAAACGAAACCATCATAAAAGACTCTTCTAGATGTAATGGCTTATTCTAACAAGATGAGTCATAGCGGCTTGTACTGCAAATATTATGCGAATAATTAAATAGTGTGCTTTTTGAAGTTCAGCTGATTATGACAGGCGATTAGATGGACAAGTAACGAAGTCATTACTATCCCTGTTAACATACTGATTGAAAGATGATAATAAATAAGGCCTCAGTGTTTATTTCTTTGTCAGTGAGTGTAATGTGAAATAACTTAAACAGATGCTTTTCTGTAATAAGTTCTACCCTTATTAGCTATTTAGTGAACACCAGTTTATCATAGAAATTCTTCATCAATGTGAATCCCTCTAAACCATTTTAACAATTGAATCAATGACAAAGTTATGGACTATCTGTAGACTTGTGGCTTAGCATTATAACAGTATGAGCCATCTCATAGTTATGCCATCAAACTAACTGACAGACCAAAGTGGAAAAATGATGACAGTTTTTGTATCCGTATTTTGAGATACTAGTAGAACTTAGGATTTCAAGCTTTCTAGTTTTTTTTAATTATAACTTGATTCCACACCATATTTTCGGTACAAGTATGGAATTTTCAGCATGTCATGTCGATAGCCCAAATTTTGTTGGCCAACCATTGATATCAGGTGTGCGTCGGTGGGGAATCGAACCTCAGACCATATGTATGGTTGGCGAGCGTCCTAACTACTGTGCTACCGACGCTAGTGTTGTTTTTATGGAGCGGGGTTACTAACCTCACATCCTGCCTTTTCTCTTTTCCAGACTTTCTACCGACTAGGCAATTCAGGACTACGTTGGCTGGGAATCGGACCAGGAAGTCTTATGTGGGTCGTGAGCAGTATACCATCGGACCACGGATTTAGTTGCGCAACAGTATTTTTAAAACATACAGAAACAAGAAGCAAATGGAGTGTTATAAACAAAATTAAAACAAATAAAAAGCGTATGAAACGCAAAAGAATCAATAAATCATTCTAAACAAAAATTATTTCAAAACTTTCAAGTAGATCATGTTTCATGCTTATCACGAAATACATATCTTACTTTTTTAATTGTTCCATCTGTGAGGTATCGCCTTCTCGTTGACCATCAATATTACCAGTAGATTGTTTGTTGTTTTTCAGCCTTAAATCTGCTGTCATACCAATTTTACTTGTTAAATATGGTCTAGTTTTTGAACAGGCAGCCTTTTCTAGTTGACTGCTATTAGATACATAATCAGACGACATATTCACATATGTTGCGCCAAGAATACAAGTATACAGAAGTGTTGCCAACGAGGCGATAATTATAAACGCTGAGATGATACAGATTACTTGACCTGAGACTTTTGTAAATATGATATCACTAGTATTGAATGTTTAATAACAAAAACAGACTATTTTTATTATTCAAATTACTCAATAGTGTGAATTATCAGCTTTACAAGTTAAATAACAAATCTTCATAGTAAATGTGTATAAGTGTGAAGTAAACTTTTGATCGGTATTATTAACAGTCCATTACACAATAGGCTGTAAGATCAGTTTTTTTGGTAAGTAGAAATAAAAGACAATCCTATGAATTCATCACACAAGAACCAAAAAGTGTTTTAAAATCTTGACAAGACAAAGAATTCATACTCGTACTAGTAAACAACGACCATGTTTTTCAGAAAGAAAGCAGTACACCGTGTATAAAGGGAAGTCTTCCACTTCATTGCCTACTGAAGCTGGTGTCCCTCAAGGTGCTGTTCTTTCTCCTTTTCTTTTTCTCTTTCTTCTTGCACGACTTGCCTCACTCTGATGAAATAAACTTCGTGAAGTACGCTGATGATTTAACGGTTTCAATGGCTGTTAACTCCCGGCTAGATTGTACCAAAATAAATAGCTTTCTATTGGGAGTCAGCAAATGGTCTGAGTCTAATGGTCTTAAACTGAATCCTTCTAAGTGTCAAACAGTTAATTTCAGCTTAAGATGTAAAAGACAGTTAAAAGAAGTCATCGATTCTCATGACAGTTGTAAGATTGACGACAATGATATAGGAATTAAATCAAAAATTAAGTATCTTCGACTTATTCTCTCTTCTGATCTCTCCTGGTCTTCCCATGTCTTAGCGGTCTCCAGTAAAATATTCCACCTGACATTTTACATTAAGAAGTTAAGGCACTCAGGTATAACTCAACCCCCCCTCTTACAGTTCATAAACTCTTGCATCCTACCTATTCTTCTTTATTGTTCACCCTTATTCTTTCCTGGTTTGCTTAAAAACGTCTATGTCACAATTCGTAGAATACTGAAGACTGTCAGTAGGGTGAGTGGTGTCCCAGTGGACCACATAGTTAACGTCGTTGTCGATAGGCACTTGACTTCGTGCAATAAATTTGCTAAAGGGATTTTGTCTGACTTGGAGCATCCGCTTTACCCTCAGCTTTCACCTTGCATCTCCTCAGGTGGAACAAGAAGTAACTTCAGAAAACTGTATGCTCGCATGTCTAAGTATAAAAATTCTATGATACCATACTTGGCACGTATTTTATGTGATAAAAATAGTGTCAGGCAAGAATTAACTAACCTTTTTTCATCTAGTAAATAAACCATTTCCTCCATCCATCCTTATATACCTTCAAGTTTTACTTTTATCATTTCTATTATATTTATGTTCCTGTTACTTCTTTGTTTTACTCTCATAATTGCAAACACCAACTTATCTCTATGATTGCTGTAATCTTTCTTTTTCCCCTCGCCATATCATGTAAAGAGAACATTATATTCAATATTTCTAAACATGTTAGAATTTCTATACCACATTGCCAATACTGTGTGAGACAAGCCAACGGTAATTTTCACTTGTATTCTTTTTATTATTACCTTAGCGGTTATCATTATTATTATTTCCATTTTATATGCTTCATGTTTTTGACACTACCTCTATTGTAAATGTGGAAAATTTTCTGTGTGATTAATTTTTATTTATAATTTGAGGAAATTAGATACAATATTGTGATGAATGCTGAAAATTCCATTCTGTTTCACAAGTACTGTTTTTGGAATAAAGTAAATTATTATCATTATTATGTTCAGATTGGGATGCTCCAAGAAAGTTGAAGAATTGCTAAGTAAACCTCATAATCTAATTAAGCGATTCGACAATAATGTCAAAGAAAATTTAATGATCATCAAAGAAAGAGGACAAATAATGAAAGGAACCTCATGAAAATTGAGATCCATCTGTCCACTGTCATTCTACTTTTGCATTTTAATTAACTTTTTTACGTTCCCAATAGAACATAGGGCACCTTCAAGCTAAAGCTTTGAGGTTTGAGTATCAGTGGTGTTTATTTTTACAGGATGGGGTTGTTAGCCTCACGTGCAACCTTCCTCTTAACCAGTCTTATTACTGGCTAAATGAGGTAAGGGAGGGCATTAGCCGGGGATTGAATCCCAAACCACGTGGCTGGTTGGCCAGTATTCAATGTTGTGCCACCGACGTACTTTTGTAGCCCATCAAAAATTTACCAAGTAAAACTGTTCATATGATCAAATTATCTACAATCTGTTTAAAAGACATGTAAAAGTGAGAGTGAGGATGTCAAATTGAGTATATGTGACATCGTGTTACTAATTAGAGATTACACATCAGTGGGAAATAAAATAAGTATTTCAGCGAAGAGGCTATTTTCGGCGAATTTAGTTTTTATTTATCTGTGTAGTCGTAAAAACAAACTTTACATGAACCCTGATTTCAAAGGTGATCTAACTCTCGACGTTATCAAGAGAAGAATTTCAATATGTTTGATAAGAACATTCTTCGTAGTAACGTTAAGAGTTGTGTTTTCCAGAGGGTTAAAATCCAAGGTCTTGCATCTGATCACTTCTGTATGCATATAACACTTTGCTTGTTGATCGTTCGACTCACATCTTGTCTAAAAGAGTTAAGGAACCTTATCTCGCATGGTATTGTTTACTTTGGCGAGTATTTCAAAGACTTACGACCTGTTCATTCGCCAGTTTCTAACAAACATGAGAAAAAGCATCATCCTTGATGGTAGCTTATCCTAATACATGAACTGACTTTCAAGTGTTGGTTTGTAGGGATTTGATTGGTTTCAGGATTTCATCATGAGCTGACATCAGTCAGAGAACCATTGGAAAACCTGGGAGTACTGGACAGCTGTTTCGTCCTAGTTTGGGGCTCTTCAGCAGTACGCAACCACCTGGATTCGAACCCAGGACCTTCCAGTTACAAGGCGAGCTCGTGTACCATTAAGCCACTGGGACCCGATCCAATGGTCCTTGGATTCTAACTTCTGCCAATTCACGACATAGCGCGACCGCTAGCCAATGTCTTCGGCGAGTATTTGTCCTCACACCCTATCTGCTGCACCCTACTGGTTAGCTCATGATGAAATCCTGAAATCAATCAAATCCCTACAAACCAACACTTGAAAAACAATGAGATGCTCACTGGCGACTGGCCCTATTCAGGTAGGTAGTTACCTGGGTTCCAGTGGGAAGCCGAGACCAGTAGGGTGCAGCAGGTTGGGTGTGAGGACAAATACTCGCCGAAGACATTGGCTAGCGGTCGCGTTATGTAGTGAATTGACAGAAGTTAGAATTCAATGACCATTGGATCGCTTCCCAGTGAGTGGCTCAATGGTTACGAGCTAGCTCACCTTGTAACCAGAAGGTCCTGGGTTCGAATCCGGTGATTGCGTACTGATGAAGAGCCCCAAACTAGGACGAAACAGCTGTCCAGTACTCCCAGGTTTTCCAATGGTTCTCTAACTGATGTCAGCTCATGATGAAAACATGAACTGACTGTTACTGCTTGGTGTCCTTGGTTCACAAAATGTACTCTTGAACTTTTTCAAGTTCACTTTTAACCAAATGTCGTGTATTTCCCGAAGAAGACAAAGAAGAAATAAAGCATAGTGGATTGGAAACATTTATTTCCCGATACGAATTTAAAACAAGCAATAAAGGTTAATAAAGCAGGATTTAATGAATTCATCAAATTTCGGTAGAACTCGTCAGCTGAATACTCTACATACACGGATAAATATACTTTTGAAATTACATGGGGAGATATAAGACTGATAAGTTGAATACTCTACATACACGGATACATATATATATATATATATATCGTTATATTCCTTAATGACTAATTGTTTATCTAAGTGATGTAATTGAAGCGTAATGCAATTTATCTTAATTTCGATCTCTCATACTCTCTCTCGCCTTATCTATTTGAACATGACCTGGAAAACATTCGCACCTGTCTTTCTGCATGACTAATTCAATGTAGATTATTTACTTATCAGTCTTATATCTCCCTATGTAATTTCAAAAGTATATATATCCGTGTATGTAGAGTATTCAGCTGACGAGTTCTACCGAAATTTGATGAATTCATTAAATCCTGCTTTATTAACCTTTATTGCATAGTGGATTGGTTTGCGCTTCAGATCAGACAGCACTGTGACACAGGATCTAGTGTCAATTAATATTTGATCTGAAGATTCTGCACGAATAGAAAATATGATGCAATAAACTCCGATGCTTAGAATAGAGCTATTAATATTATTATTATTATAGTTTCAGAACGTCAGCGACAACCCTTTAAGGGACGCGACGATTGGACAACTTCTTGACACTGGTCATTACATATTGTCAAACTCCTCTTTCAGAGTGACCTACAAAGTGAAGAGCAGCCTGCCAAAGACGTTAAACTTTCACTTCTTTTGCATTACTGAAGCTCCAAACATTCAGACCCAGAAATCGGAGCTCTATACACAAAAGAGAATTATTCGATAACCAAAGATATCATGGTAATCATCGTTCTCGTTTCCCTCAGCTTAATTTTTGTCTTCCTTTAACTCTTTCTGACTCTTCTGTTCTTTCAAACACTTGCTCAAAACCACATTTTCCCTAATTTCTGTGTGCATTCTAATTACAGTTCATTCACTGAATTACTTATCTCATTAGGTAACTCTATCATCCTTATTCAACTTCCCTTATGTGTTGGATATTGGCAACTACGATTAGAACAATTTATCTCTTTTATGGAAGGAGTTTTATGTGAGTGTGACTCTACAGCTGAAGAAGATAAATTCCCCGAAAAAGAGCCTCTTCGCTGGTCTACTTGTCTTGTTTTCCATAAATGCCTGAATGAAATTATTTATGAAATCAAAATGAATTTAGCCAAACTAACAGTGGACTAACCGTTATTTGTTTACCCTCATCTAAATGATACATATCCCACAACAGGTGCCCCTCTACCTGTGATACAAATCTTTTCTGCTATTCTGCTGTAAATATAAAATTTAGTCATCCTGAATTACTGAAGTGTGACTGAACCACAA